GAGACCGTGATGGGTTGACAGCGATGGGACCTCGAGACCGTGATGGGTTGACAGCGATGGGACCTCGAGACCGTGATGGGTTGACAGCGATGGGACCTCGAGACCGTGATGGGTTGACAGCGATGGGGCCTCGAGACCGTGATGGGTTGACAGCGATGGGGCCTCGAGACCGTGATGGGTTGACAGCGATGGGGCCTCGAGTTCAATCCTCCGGCCGTGGGTCACGTCAGTGGCGAGCGACGATGTGGGGAGATTTTTGCGGATTGAGAAAGCGACTGTGAACATTATTGTTAACGAGTAAAATATCATCCAATTAGTCGTATTGATGTATGGATTGGAAAATCCATAGGGCAAATTTTAATGAAATATTTAAATATCCTTTCAAGAAACGTACGTCCGCTCAACGCCGTGGACGTACGTTTGTATTTCACGTCGTTTTTCGACCCAAGCGTTGCTTTGACATGTGTGTAAATTTATCCGGCACAACTTTAGGGCGCAGTGAATGAACGAGATGCGTCGCGGACGTTTTACTCAATTTGCTTGGATCAGCTGTGAAACGGTTCCGGGGTTCCACTGCTCACGTCTGCCCCCCCGCTCCCCTTCTCCCCCCCCCGCCACCACCCATCTCTGCAGGGCCCCATGGGACCTAGGGGACCTCCTGGCCTGCCTGGCCCTTCGGTAAGTCTCCGCACCGCGAGCACTGACCTCACTCGGTAGCCGTTGAACCGCCGTGGGCGAACGTAACGAGTGCAGGGACCTCGTCGCGAGGAGTCTTGGGACCCGGCGGCGCATCCGTGGCTAAATGGTGTCCACGTTGCGCTCGACAACAAGAAGCTGAATGGAAAAAAATATGATAATAGTTTTTTTACCCTTCTATCTGGCAACAAAACTGACACCTTTTTTTTACAAGGAGTCATGTTTGCATAGACCACAATACCTGCAGCCATAATCCTTGAAGTTGATTGGTCCACACCCGAGACAGCTTTCTTTAGAGCCTAGTCTCACATGGGTTGGACCAGATGACGCCAAAAGGCGCACAACTCAAGGACAATGCACCATCAGAGTATGAGAGCTCGGGGTAATGAGGGAAAACAAATCGTTAGTTTCATCTGTACCTGTCAATATCTATTATTTAAAGAACAATTTGATAGTTTCGACATGCGCCATATTTTTCTACAGGAGGTTTTTTGGAAAATGCGCCATATAACTGGGCCTTACCTTGTAAAAGAAATTAAAAAATAGTTGAATTTTAGTTTAGACGTCCCTCGCTTGCGTTATTTATGCGCCCTGCGAAGGTGGTCGTGGTTTTTTGTGTTGTTATTGATGTCGATGCGTGTTTATTTCTTGGTGCCGTGCAGGGCCCAGCTGGATCTTCGGGAGCCCCAGGAGAGCCTGGAGAGCCAGGAGCTTCTGTGAGTCACCGCCAGCGACCGTGCACCCACATCTCACCACGTGCACCCACATCTCACCACGTGCACCCACATCTCACCACGTGCATGGCAGAGGTCGCAAACGGGTTTTGATTCCTTACCCGTACCCGTACCCGGCCGCACCAGGGTCGCAAACGGGTACCCGTACCCATACCCTACCCGATACCCGGCTACCCGGCCGGGTAGGGTACGGGTACGGGTACCCGATTGCGACCTCTGGGATGAAGCCATGTTGCAGGCGCGGGTGGGTTGATTCTAGGAACTTGAATTGTGAGAAGAGACAAGACGTTGGGAAATGAGTGACAAACGGTGACTCACGGCCTACCCGTACCCGGCCGCACCAGGGCCGGGTACGGGTAGCCAGGTATCGGGTAGGGTACGTGTACGGGTACCCGGTTGCGACCTCTGGTGCATTGCCACGCTCGCGCCCATCACGCGTCAAAGCCATTGGGGCCCGAGCCGTGTGGATCGCCACAGGCCTCGGCCTCCCGCCATCGTCTCTGAAATGTGACTCCGGGCAAATGACTGCGCTCACTTTAACACGTAGGCTTCTTCACAAATCTGGCTGTGGCCTGATGAAGCTGGTTGTAATTACTGGCGAAACGCCGTACTCAGTTTGTAAGTGTTGTGGCTTGGCTCTCCAACACACAACCGGTTAGTGCTGTACTAGTACACTACACTATATACTACACTATACACTACACTATACACTACTACACACAACACTATACACTACACTATACACTACACTATACACTACACTATACACTACACTATACACTACACTATACACTAGTGCTGTGCCAGTGACGAATTGGCCACGTTCTCTACCGGCCCCCCCCACTGGTTTCGCTCGTGAGCGGCAGTGCTCGGAGCGTGTGAGAATATCAGAACTGCAAAGGGCCTTTCGACAGAGAAAACCGCGAATGTGACATTGGAATAAAAATCATCGTGGAATGGCCTTTACGGTTTAATTCGATCCGTGTAGGGCTCGCGCCCGATTTTAAATAGCCACGCACGTGGCATTGGCGATGGTGATTGGCCAGTGAGTAGATCAGTTAATCGAATACAACGTCTCAAGACGGTGACTCGTGGTAACGGTGAAGATAAGTGATGTTGACGATAGGGGTTGTCGATGGTGACGATGTTCATGATGACTTTGACGATGGTGGTGGTGTTGATGATGAAGATGATGATGATGATGATTGTGGTGTTGATGGTGACGATGTTTGTGATGATGTTGACGATGTTGAAGATGATGTTGACGTTGTTGATGGTGGTGTTGACGCTGTCCCCACTCTCTCTCTCCCCATCCCCCAGGGTCCCGTTGGCCCTGTTGGACCCGTTGGGTCCCCAGGCCGTGCTGGTGAAGACGTGAGTACCCACCCCACTTTGACGAGATGTTAACTAGTGCGCCTTTTGGCGTCATCTGGTCCAACACCATGTGAGACTAGGCTCTAAGGAAAGCTGTCTCGGGTGTGGACCAATCAACTTCAAGGACAGTGCATACATTATCAGAGTTGTGTTTTTTGTTTGCATTACGACTGCAGGTATTGTGGTCTATGCAAACATGACTCCTTGTAAAAAAAGGTGTCAGTTTTGTTGCCAGATAAAGGGATAAAAAAACAATTATCATATGTTTCTTCTGGCAAATGAGGTTCCAATGGTGAGATGTTAACTACCTCGCCTGGAATACAGGAGGTCGTGGGTTCTGTGAGATGTTAACTACCTCGCCTGGTATACAGGAGGTCGTGGGTTCGATCCCGACCCTGACACCTGCTGTGTCTTTGGCGTTTGCGTGTCTCTCTCTCTCTCTCCCCATGGTCACGTGGATTTTTGTCCGGGTCCTCCGGTTTTTCCCTGCACATTTATAATCAACATCGCGCGTCCAGAATATTTGGCTGCTATAAATGTCCACGTGATGATAAGCCACTTCGTTGAGCTGCCATTCGTGGCCAATTCGCTTCTGAGAAAGAGCTGCACAGCTTAAGTGGGCTGTCAAAATGTAAAAAATAGTTTCTAGTTTTTTTTTTTGCATTAGAGTGTGAGCTCACACCTGCTCAATCAACGGCCGGAATGTGCGCGAGGATTCTCTCTCGATGCGTGAACGTTCATCGATGTACGCGTCTTGTGCCTCTGCCCAGGGTCACCCCGGCAAGGCTGGCATCTCCGGCGAGCGCGGGGCTCCCGGTTCTCAGGTACGCGAGCATCACGATCTCACAGGGGGTTCCCGCACGGGGGAGAGAGGCGCGCGGGTCTACCCCGGCGGCGTCAAAACCCAGCGCAGCAACCCCGCCCCTCCTCGTGAAGGCCCACGGGCCCGACCTGCGGAGCCAGCCGCAGCACCAGTAGCAGTGTGGCAGCAGCAGTAGCAACAGCAGTGTAGCGGTAGCTGCAGCAGCAGTAACAGTAGCAGCGTGGCAGTAGCAGCAGCAGTAGCGGTAGTAGCAGCAGCAGCAACGGTGGCAACAGCAGCAGTGGCAACAGCAGTAGCAGCAGCAGTGTAGCAGTAGTAGCGGTAGTAGCAGCAGCAGCAGTGGCAACAGCAGTAGCAGCAGCAGTGTAGCAGCAGTAGTGGTAGCAGTAGCAACAGCGGTAGCAGCAGTAGCAACAGCAGTCGTAGTGGTATAGCAGCAGCGGCAGCAGTAGCAACAGCGGTAGCAGCAGTAGCAACAGCAGTCGTAGTGGTATAGCAGCAGCGGCAGCAGTAGCAACAGCAGTGTAGCGGTAGCTGCAGCACCAGTAACAGCAGCAGCGTGGCAGTAGCAGCAGCAGCAGAGGTGGCAACAGCAGTAATGGCAACAGCAGTAGCAGCAGTGGCAACAGCAGTAGCAGCAGCAGTGTAGCAGCAGTAGCGGTAGCAGTAGCAACAGCGGTAGCAGCAGTGGCAACAGCAGTAGCAGCAGCAGTGTAGACAACTTAGATTAAAGCCATCAGTCTAACTCCGTACTACAACAAACAAACATGGCCAAACCAAAAAACTTTTCGAAATCACCTAAATAAAGCCATACAAGCAATGTAACAGTGAGCATAGGAACCGTGACCGAAATTTCACAATAAACGACTAAAACAAGTTGTACGGTGGGTGGACACGCGCGCGCACACACGGACTCACGCGAAACTAAACGCACCGCCACCGCCATCCCAGCGTGGATGACGAAGTCCGTTTGCCTCCGTACGCCTGGCACCGCCGCTGTACATTCCTGTAAAGCTCCACGGTGGCTAGGAGATGTTGACTACCTCGCCTGGTCTACAGGAGGTCGTGGGTTCGATCCCGACCCTGATGCCTGCTGTATATTTGGAGTTTGCGGTGTCTCTCTCTCATCATCATCATCATCACGGTGACTAAGAGATGTTAACTACCTCGCCTGGTGTACAGGAGTCGTGGGTTCGATCCCGACCCTGACACCTGCTGTATATTTGTCTCTCTCCCCGTGGTCACGTGAATTTTTCTCCGGGACCTCCGGTTTTTCCCCTCCAACATTTAGAATCGACGTCGCGCGTTTAGAGTGTTTGGCTGCCGATGGGCCGCCTCTTCGCTGAGCTATCATTTGCGACGGCCAGGTCGCTTCTGAAAAAAAGCGCGACGTAGCTCAGCGGACCTTACCTGGTTTAAAAAAAAAGAGAGGTAGTTAACAGTTATGGAATAGCTAGTACGTTCATAGCGACTCAACAGTTCGTTAAACCTCCTGAAATTGACGTCCGATATCTTGGAGCGGCAGCGGGGCCGCAGGTCGCGACCGCGGGGTCACAGGTCGCCTTCGCCCGGCGCGTTTGGAGTTGGCCGGGCCCCTCGAGGTGAACGATGCAGCGAGTGTCGCTCGCTCGCTCCCAGCGTCACCCACGGCCGTTCTCTCGCACGGACGACGAACGGACGACGGCGGCTGGAGTAAATTTTTACCGTGGTGTCGTTTTCCTCGTTCCAGGGCGCGCGTGGCTTCCCTGGCAACCCCGGGCTGAGCGGCATGAGGGGTCACAAGGTGAGCCGTCGCCAACGCGTTGCTGCTGCTGTTGTTGTTGATGCTGCTGTTGTTGTTGATGCTGCTGTTGTTGTTGATGCTGTTGTTGTTGTTCTTGTCGTTGTTTCTGTGGCTACTGCTGCTGTCGTTGTCGCCGTGTCCTTCATTCCGGAGGCCCACCGGAGCCGCGCACCTTCAAATCATCTCGATTCAAAACTCGTTCCGCGAGAGAAGCTCCGTCAGTCGCGGTTTTGAAGGCTCGTCTGAAAAAACCCGCGTTAGTTCTCGCTTGCGTATCCGTCTGCGTAGGGGTTTTTTGTTTGTTTTACGCTTGGTTTTAAATGTGTAGGCAGTCAGTAGCCGTGAAAACAAAGTCAGTCATTGATGAGAAAGTAAAAAAGGGTTTGAACCTTTACTGGCAATAAAACGGGAGCTGTGTGAATATGTTCAAACGCCAAATAGGCACCTTTCGCGAGGCATCACGTAGCCACAAATTACTCGTGGCAAACAAACGTGCAAGCGAAAACCGACTCTCATTTTCCCATCGTTTTTGATACTGGCCAAAAAAAAAAAAGGTCCAATCAAAGTCAATCGAACGTGGCCCAATCATCCTCATAGCGCCCACTCTTTGCCCTCTGTGTCTCAAGGCTCTTCTCTCTGTGTGTGTCTGCGCCTGTGTGTGCTTGTGTGTGTGGGAGCGGTGGTGTAGCGGTTAGCGCTACGCTGCGCTACGAACCCGGCGACCCGAGTTCGATTCCCGCTCGCGGCCACCGACAACCGGTGACGTTTATCTGAGCCGGTCTCGGGTCTGCCCGAGGTCGACTCAGCCTCAAATGAGTAACTGGTACCGGTGTGTAAACATCGCCACTGGGGAGACAAAGGCGACCGGGCGTGGTGCTGGCCACCCACCCCCTCGTGTGCCGTGCCGGCCTTCGTAGGTGCTCGCTAACAGCGCTTGTCCCAACAGTCTGCTATTCAGACGCTGTCTTTCCGACAGACCTGTTCTTCATCTGAGGACGGCTGCTTGCGTTGTGGCCGAAACGTCGTGAAAATTATTTTATTATGTTTTATTTTTATTATTTTATTATTTCCCTTCTACGTGACTTTACCGAAAGAACCAAGAAGATGAGTCTGCTAAGGCTTTGTCCTTTTGTACGTATGTGTGTGTTGAACTTCTTTTGCACCCTACGTGGCCAACCGTGCTAATCGGAGGTGCGGGGGGTGAAGGGACAACAAACCAAGAGCACGCCCCGAAAGAAAATCAGTTTTCTAACCCCGCCGCCGTGTCTGTTCCCAGGGCTACGATGGTCTGGATGGAAACAAGGGCGAGGCTGGCAGCGCTGGACCCAAGGTTGGTGAATTCTTCAGCGACGTCAACCTCATTCATTCGTTCGTTCATTCGTTCGTTCGTTTCATTCCCCCTTCGGCATCGGGACGCGGCGTTGCGTCTGCAGCGCTTCGGTGAAGAGAGATCCGCGAGCGAGGCTCCGCTGGAGAAGCCGGGGGACGAGGTTCTGTGAGATGACCGCAAGCGTAATGTCGCTGAACCCTGGCCCGTACCGAGATGATCGCGTTAATTTTATTTAGAAAGGCTTAGTAGCAGCGCCGTCGTTTTTTAAAATTGTCGCTCGCCGCAGAGAAGCGAGCGACACGGCCGCCGCACTTTCCGATAGCCGGCGCCAAACCGTGCCACACGGCCCTCCCGCACGGCCTTGTGGGAGCCTCGGTACCGCTAAAAGTCATTTGATTTTAGTTTTTCTTCCCCATTTCGTTCCGACGACGTGTGCGTACGTCACATCAACCCTTTCACCGTCCATCGGGAACGGGAATGGTGTTAACGTTGCGGCGATGCCGAAGTCACCGGCTCCCGCTTACGCCCAAATCGATCGGTGGGATTCCCACGCTTCGACAAAGCTGACGGTCGCCACGACAGAAATGGCTCATCGCCCTCTTTCTTTTTTGTTTCGCCACGCCGGTGACCGTGACCCGCAGCGGGGCACCACGGCAGCTGCTGATGTTACTCGCCGATGATGCGAACAAAAAAAACAAACAAGGGAATTTTCTTTTTAAACTCTCCGGCCGGCGTGCGGAGACTTCTGTGGTCAATGCCC